TTGAAATTACTCTGAAGCTGCACGACAGTTTGGGAGAAACTCCAAGGCATCCACTACAAACACAATGGCAGCTGCTTGAGGCAAGAATTCTTCTAGTTTGGGTCGAAGCCGAGAGTGCCCAGGAACATCAACAAGATGAACAGGCTTTATTTTTCCTTTCTGTCACGTAGAGCAGACACATGACAATGTGTTAGTCCATTCTTCACAATCAACTGCACGTCTTGTTTAGAACAAGCCAGTAAGAATCTTTACCTTAGTGTTTTCAGTGTGGAAAACGAAAGTGCCCTCATTTGGTTCCATTGACGTTACAGTGCCCTGATGCGATGATCCATCTCGGAGCTGCCAATCAAACAATTATCATGTTATATCTGCCTAACAATCACCTAGTCACTCACGCTGACTCGGACAATAGTGACACTTAACAAAAGTACATAAACTACATTTAGAGGAACGTCATAAACAGTTTCCATATGAGGAAAGGAAAGTTAAGCCAAAGTACTCACTTGATAAAAGAGCACAGTCTTTCCACTTCCAGTCAGCCCAGAAAGGAGCACAGTGTTGGATTTGGTACGTCTGACCAAACGAACTGCATAAGCCAGCAAGAATGACAAAGTTTAACAACATAAAGAACCAAAGTTAATATATCTAATAACCATAGAGAAATATTGCATAGACCTCAGCAATTTCAATAACAGTTCTGATTCCAATACACAAACAAAATTAGCTAATACTCTGGCTTAATCACAAGTCTAAAATGGTACCATGAGAGCATAAAACCTCCTTAAATGTGGACAAAAGCAAGATACATAAATTTCAAAACTAGCATCTAACAATTCTATAACGAAAGATCAAGAGACGAGGAATGTGGTGTGTATTACGTACTGGATAAGAGCAAAAGGGTTGTGAACAACAGAACACCAATGGCGGCATACAGCTGAGTCGGTGGTATCTTCTGAAGATATTCAATTCCTTGATGCGACCACTGCTCCACGAGAATTTTCAAATCTTCAAAGTTCTCCATTTCCTTCTCTCAAATTTCACTTCTACCAGTTTATAAGCTGTTTATAACATAAAAATGACCATAGTTATTACATCACCAGTAAGCAGAACAGCCACACCCACTCTACAAGATGAACTTTGGTCTTTGGACCAATCATCATAAATCAACAATAGTGAACTAGAAAAGTGTATTCGAAACTCTCGTCATTCCAAACATTACATCAATATTGGGTTACATAGAAAACTAAACGAAGTATATGCCTCTCTTATGCCTTTCAACGAACACATGTTGTTCATTCTTGAAGTTTTTTATAAGTCCAGCACAATGGGCATAATCATCATCCCTAATTCCTCACATCTTGTGAACAAGGAACAAAGATGAATAATCCCAATTTTAAACCACTTTGAACAGATCAATCCAACCCCTAGACCCATACAAGATCATCCCAAATTACGAAACGAAAAATGCTAATCCTAAATTGATTCCCTGCTTCAACCAGATGTCAAAAACACACATAGACTCATATAAAGTTTCCGATACAATAACTTTATAGGAATGAGAGAGCTAAGAAATTCACAGATCTGAAGTTACAAAAGAGAAAATGAAACAAATAGATGGAGAAGAAAGAAACGCACCGATGAGAGAAGAAGAAAACAAAACCCAACGAACGTCACAGTGAGGGGACGACGGTGGAAGCGGAGAAGACCACGGCGACGATGATTTAGGGTTCAGGTTAATATATCTTTTATGGTATTTGAAAACGAGTCC